GACTTCTCTGATGCTGTGTCAGCTCTCTCAAATTCTTTAAACATTGAGTCATCTACTTTTCCTCCTTGGAAAGGTAAGGAGCTGGTAGTAACGTGCAGCTTTCACCAAAAGATGTGACCACTGCTTCTCTCCTTGTTTGAAACTGCAGAATTTTATTGGCTAAAAGAAAATTATTCTGAACTGTGAATCACATCTTAACAATCAGCATGTTGTAGGAAAGCCAGCTAATGAACAGGAGATACATGCTCTTGGTGAACATGGGGACTTCGTTCTTACTTTCTTTGACTCTGTTAGTCACAGTCTGTTTCAGAGCTGTCTTCATATTTCGGTATCGGTCCTTGCGAATTCCTGCCTGCTAGTTGGTAGCCATTGGTGTGATGATTTCCTTGGAGCTACTGCAGTTTAAAGCAATTAGGCATGTGATCATAGATTTCATCCCATTGTTGGTCCTAAGATTTGAGGAGCTCAGGCTGTGTATGGGGTAGAAGAGGACCAGGACACAGCTTTCCTGCTACAGAGCACTGCTCTTTGATCATAACTGTGGTCCAAATGCTTTGGGGAATGGGTAACTGCTGCATTTTATTAAAGACATGCAACTGAAATAATAATCGGATAAAAGGATCATTTATTGTCAAATGATTATGGAGCTGCATTATGTGATTTCATATCTTTTCCTTCAAAATCTCTGCATCTCAAACCAGCTTGCGGTTTTACTCTGTGCCATTAACACTTTGGTATTACACAGGAGTATATTTCATATGGCAATTCAGTGGAATATGGATTATGTTATCAGGAAATAAATAAAATTTTCTCAAGTTGGCCTAGGCTCTGCTGATGGTAATAGTGAAATTGTTTGTCCTTAAGCTATAGCAAAGGATTGGATTCTTAAAAACTGGATAGGGAAAAATGCTTTTAGAGTGATTTCTTTACAATAAAAACATGATAGTCTTAAAGCTAACTGATAATCATTTTGAGTCCATTCCACATGAAGCAGGGGAGCAAATAGGTTCTCAGCTGATGTAAGTCAACATAGTCCCATTAGCTGACAAAGCTGGGTCAGTCCACAGCAGCTGAGGACCCAGCCCCGTGACTTGGAAAGAATCATCATCATGCTGTCTAAACTGGGGAAAAGACTGTAACAGGATTTTGTGAGGGCAAATAATATTAGAGAGCAAATAAGATGGGCCAGGGACCAAATAGGTTGGCTGTTTAATTTGTCATTTATCAAGATTTTTTTTACTGGAATGTGCACCAGTGGGGAGAAGTTGTCTCTTAGAGCCACTGAGGGCTGTTAACCTTTTTTAGTACTGTTTAGTGTCTATCACTGCAGTGGAGCCAGGCGCATGAATAGTACACCTTTAATAACAAAACTCCTAAGTTAATCTCCTCTAGAGGTCTGCGTGACATTACTAGCTATAATCTAACCCTTCCAGGTTATTGTAGATGCACTTACGGGCATAAAACCTTCTTTGGGAGAATTAGGTATTTTCTCATTATGCATGCTAGTAGCTTTTCACTGAATATCACCAAATTTCCATGAAAATCTGAATTTCTCTGGCAAGTTGAAGAGTTTACCAAGTCTATGAGAAAGGATCTTAAGAATTTTCTGATGATTTGTTCTCTAGCTACCTCTGAATTAGTGAGGTGAGATACTCTCTGATGAACTGATGGAAAACGAAAGCAGTTTGTCGTAAGAACAGGCAGACGCAGGATGTGTGTGGGGAAGGAAACACTGAAGCAGAAATCCCTGCTGCATGTGGAGTCATTTTAGGACTGTGGCCTAGTGGTTGAAGGATCCACCCATCTCCGTTCCTTCCTCTGCCTGCTGGACCTGTTTGCTATGTGTTCTAGGAAAATGTGCAGCTGCATGAGCTGACCATTGACCAGCTCCTTAAAAGATGTTTCGGGTTTGCAGGGTTGCATGTAGACATCTAAAGTCTGAGCCCCAGCTGCTAAAGCCTGTATTGGATCTGGTCTTTAACCTCTGTGTCTCAGCTCCTTTGGGGAAAATAATGCTTCATTTCTCTGCCCTTGTATATCCAGGTTTAGCAAACTCTCCAGGAAAGAGACCTTCTCTTGCTTTGCTTGTCATGCTAATAATAAACAACTGTAGCACGGAGACTAGAGTAACCACAGCAAGAGGAGCTGTGATTGCATCACTAGCAACAGCAGACATCTCCTGCCAAGGTGACCCCTGATTGTGCCACAGATGCTTTACTGATTTTGTCCCCATCTGGGACATTCAGAAATGAATGGGCAGCGTGCTGGGTGTCCAGGTGCCTGTTCTCCACCTCCAGATGCAGGTGCTATCTTGCACTCGTCACAAGGTGGATCAGGGAAATCAGGTCACAGCAGAGACTGGTTGCAGTTTTGCCATCTGCAGAAGGGTGTGTGAGGGTCTGACAGAGCCTGACATGCCTAGTCAGTGGAAGGTGTCCAAGGTGCTGGGAGTATTGGAGGCTCTCATCTCTCCTGGGTTATGAAAGACAAGGAGGACTCTGCTGGGAGATGATGTCTCCAGTCCAGTCTGCAGGGTCTCACCTGCGCTCAGCTACAGCTGCAAACCAGTGTTGGTCTTGTGCTCCCCTGATGTTGTATTGCTGAAATGTTTGTATTTATAAAAACCTTCATTGATTGCTGAGATGTGATTATGGGCCAAACTCTGCAACACAGTAAATGGAGCAAGGTGGTATATACCCATTTCCCATCGTGGCTTGAGCACAGCTGTGGAGGAGAAGCAAGGTGGAAGATGTTATAGTGTTTAGTACTGTGGGCTGTTTGTGTTGAGACAAGTCGCCTCCACCTTCCTTTTCTGACTAGCTCATCTCAGGTCCTCTGTGCCATTCAGCTTGGATGGTTGCCCAGCTCTGGAGAAATCCCAGATCGGTCTGTGATACTCTACAGCTAGTTTTGATTTGCTTTAAATTTCATTGCTTTTTCTTTTCAGAAAATTATTCAACAGTGCTTGGCTTGAAGAGGGGCTGAAATGCCATCACACATTCTGTACCTCATGAAAGAAAGTGTAATTAAGCCCCTACCTCTTAAACGCACAGCCCACATTTGAATTATCAGGGAAAGCCACCACAAGGGTTAAACACTTTATTTAGATGGCTTTGTTTGTTACGTGTGTGCTTTGCTTGTTCTGAGAATTAACAGAAGATAAGCTAAAAGTTCATTTATAAGAGTATTAAAGGATAATTATGATGGAGTAAATGCAGCAGGTCAAAAGGCATTATGGTGAACAGAATCATAATATAGGGCTTGGAAAAATAAGCTAAAATGTACAATGCCTAACATCACTCGCTGAATGCCACAGAAAGTACTTCCTTGGTGTTTCTCTCTGCTTCTTCATTCCCAGTGTAAATTAAAGTACTCTGCTGTTTCAGCATGAACACATAATGGTGATCAATTGCAGTAACTTAAATTAAACTTTTGGGCAGGCATAAATATGTGACCTTTTAATATCAACGAAATGATAAAAAAGATTTGGTAGGAAATCTGTTTCAATCAGATTAGAGGAGAAGTGGGTAAAGCTGATTACAAGCCCGCTAAACACAGTATTTGGGCAGTATTTGTTCAGAAACAATAGCGTTAATTCTACTTTAACAAGTATTATCTGGAAAATCAATAATTAATGGGAACCCATTATCAACTTGTAATTTAGCACAGAGATTAAGTTGGGGAGAAGTGAAAGCGAGTGGGCAACCTGCTTTTACTTGACCTATCAGGCTGATGGATTAGTGAATGACAGCAGGGTTTCATATTTTTTTAAAGGAGAGGTGGTAGAAATAAGTCAATTTAGGCCTTTTGCTGTTTGGCACCACCTTGCCCTCCTGCTTCCCCACACTTTGCAGAAAAGCTGCCTTGTGCAGCCAGGTCACTGCAGCCTGGGGGATGATGTCACTTGGTCCTGGGAAAAGCGGGGAAACATCACCCCCAAATCCACATAATGCATGGAGAGGGGTGAAGAGAGGTAACAGAGGAGGGCAGAAGAGTGCTGTTTGTGGGTGGCATGAGCATGTACAGTAACATCACCGTGGCTTGCCTTGTCTTCCTATAGGGCCATTCCCCTCTCTAATATCTTTATTCACCTCCCAGCTTGTCAAAGTGCCCCCTACCATGTTTCCTCCTCGACAGGGCTTGTAGCAACATGTGTGAATGCATGTGAGCACTCAGATTTTCCTCAGCCAGCTCCCCCCTTCCCCCTACCGCATCGGCTCTATTTGGGGAAACAACCTTATTTGTCCTCTGTGCTGTACTGGGACTCAGATGCTGCGTGTGTGCACATGGGTTGGAAGTGGTGTGCGCGACTTGTCTCTCGAGTAGGTCATTGCAACAGATGCCAAACAGATAATGGTTTTGTGAAGACAATATACTTCCCGAGGATACAGATGTTCTGATCAAGGCTCTCTATGTGTGTGTGTGTGTGCGTGTGCTTGCTTCTCTCAGGGTATCTCTGTGTGTGTTTGCTGAGGCCACAGTAGGCTTTTAGAAGAGGAACATTGCTATTTGTTAAATTTCAGGTGGACAGCAATGGGCCACCGTTTCCACCTCACTGCCAGTCTGCCCATTGTCTCCTCCTGGGCAGAGGCTCTTTTTTTCCCAGAGTTGACTTGCCTACCTGATTTTGGGCAGAGTGGGGTGCAGTTTGTGGGCTGTAGTGGTTTGTGAGAGTAAGGGAAAAAAAGAAGATGGGTTGAGGACACTGGATCGAGGACACTGGAAAGCAAGTAAACCAGTGTTAGAGGATTTGTGGAGGTTCTGGTGCAGCTGGACATGGCTACATAGTCACCCACGGGTGGGATGCTCTTTGCCTTGCTCAAAGGCAATGGTCAAAAATGAAATTAAGGAGGTCCCTGCTGACACAAGCAGTGGCCTATAGATAGAGGAGAGGCAAGTGTAAAGGAACATATTGCCTCTCTCAGCAGAGCACTGGCTAGAGCTAGAAATAGTGACAACTTGGGCTGGCCTCATGTTTCCCACCAAACCCACCCTCACTATCTGTGTGGGTGAGGTACACCATGGCAGGATGAGAAGCCCAAGAGCTTGTCTCTGTTTCCACTGGCTGCATTCTCCATCTCTGAGCTGCAGTGATGGTCTGTGTGTTCCTGATAGGGTGACTGAAAGGCTAATGTCTGGACACTGGCTGGATGTAGGCTGTCCCTGCGGCACAGTGTGAAGCCTGGGTTGTGATGGGGGGCTCCTTGACAGTCAGCAAGGCGGGATGCTCTCGGCAAGGGAACAGATTGAAGGCAGATTGTGTGGGTGAAGTAGCCCTGTGCTACACAGATAGGGAGTGGCTTCAGAAATGGCATTTAATCATTCAACATTAACACAAGACATCTGTCACCACCCTTGGCAGTGACGGTGCTACACAGCAAAACAATATGTTCTGGTGCTCCTAATCACTGGAAAAACACTACTTTTTGCAGAGAGTTCTTTTAGTGCCCGGCACAAATCCTTCTATTTTATTATAGCAATCCCAGCCAAATCCTTCAATAAATGGAGTTTTTATTAATGTGCAGCTGTTGAATGAGAAAAAAATAAAACTCAGAAATAAAAATGAATCCCTGAATAATCAGGCTGATCCCAGGCAGTAAGAACAAACAGGCCAACCACATACTTACAGCTTTTTGGTATTATTTAAAAATATAAACAGGGCTTTACTTTCCCTCTCTTTTTATTTTTTACACAGACCTGATTAGATTTTGCTCAGGAGGATCCAAGCCACTTCTGTGAGCTGGAAGTGCAGCATGGAATGAGAGGAGCTGGGATGGGTCACATCCATTATGTGTGCCTGATATTTGCCTGCTGCTGTGGTCAGGAATTTGCTCTGACCAGAAAGGAGAGTGTAGGGGTGGCACAGTGCCCAGGGCAGCTGGGGTCCGGCTTTGCAATGACGGATGTGCTTGCTTCTCAGCAAAAGAGAACAGAAGAGAGTGTCAAAAAAAGAGGGTGGAAAAAGCTGAGTGACCAAAGCCCTCTGACCATTACAGCTCTCATCAGAATGACAGTGTGGTTTACTTTAACTCGTTGCAGTTCGGTGCTCTTTGCCTTGATTTTGCAGTTAAAAATGAAGGAAAAGTGATCCCATGATGATGTGGTAGGTGAGGCAGGTGCTGAGTTGGGGGAAAAGAGCAATGCTGTCCTGGATGTAGCCCTAGGACCTTTCCCTGTGCACACATAGGTCCTGGCCTGCCAAGGGATTTGCAACCACTGTGTCACGAGTGGGGAGGTCCACCAGGAATGGAACAAATCTCCTTCCTTTATGCTCACTGTTGCTGCTGAGAGATCTGGTTTGATTGTGCTACACCCATGGCACAGCCAGGCTACTGCACGCGTGGTGGAAGCTGGGCTAAACCAGGTCCTAGGCTACAGTCCAGCTGGCAATGCAATGACCATTGAAGACTGTTCCCTGGTGGCTCCAGCCCAAAGGAGAGTGCTGAGTGAGCAGAGATGTAGGAGACCTGCTGGAGCTGCCATCAGATGCTTGTATTCAGGTAACTGAGACCTTGGCCAGCCCCATGAGGGCCCACCTAGAGCTCAACCTCCAACAGGAGGGCAAGAGCAGCCTGGGTAGCACCAAGGCTTTCATCCTGCCTGAGGCACTCAGAGGTTAGCTGTGGCCCTTGGGACAGTGCCTGTCACCAGCAGCCAGACCCTGGTCAGCCGGGGGTGCTGCCTGGCCAGCGTGAGGCAGTAGGGAATGCCCCAAGCAGATAGCACCCTGCCTACAAAATGACGCGACCATCTCCACTATTCTTTCTGATTAAATCTGAGCCAAAGTAAAGCCCTAATTCTTCTGATTAAAGCTTAGAAGTTAAGCTCTTCGGACAGGATGTGTGCCTTGCCCTGTGCTCTCCTAAACCATTTTGTCCACTTGATGACAAGACACTAATAATACGCTCCTGTGTTTCTTCTCAAACATTCATGATGCCCAGTCCATAGGGTATATGATGTGCCTGGGACATCCCACCACTTCTCTCGGAATAGTGGTATTTATATGTGGTCACCCAGCTATTTTCAGAAGCAGGGAAGTAGGGAGGAAATGCTCCAAGCAAAGCAGAGTTCCGGGTCTGCCAGGGTTTATCCTTTATGGCTTGGGCTTTTCCTAGTGGAATTGCCCTAGGAGACATGCCCCAACCCAGGCATTGATCAGACTGTTACACAAATGCTGTCTTAACTCAGGTGCTCTACAAGCATGGATCAGTCCACTGTCACAGCCCTGCAGGGAATGGGTAAAGGCAACTAACATGATGAGTTAGGGCATCAGGGACAGGAGAAGATTTAATTGTCACTGTTTTGTCCTTCATGAATAGGTAGTTTACCCCAGGGTAGCTCTGTTATGAAGCTTCGCTTGAGTGCTCTGTACCCTGCTTGTCTGTTCTGCAGGACGTTCTGAAAATGCAGGATAGGATTCTGGATGAGGCTCACCTGCACTGCACTTGCCTTAAAGGAGAAGCTCCTGGCACCTGCTGGGAAGCCTGTCCTTGGGCAAGACTGGTCTGTGGTTTCAGAAGGCGCTGGAGACACATCCTTAGGGACTCATCCTCCACACATGTTCAGCTTCTTGCAGGGAACCTGGGAAAGTTCTGCCTCGAGCGTCTTGCATGGGGAAGCTCTCCTGTCCCTCCTCCTCTGCACCACGGCCAGCGGCACAGCCTGGTATTGTTTGTCGCAGATCAATGCATTTAGCCATGTGGAAAAATATCATTACCACCAAGGCTCAGCTTTTCTTTCCCCTTGAACCTCTCCTGCTGTGCTGGTGAGGGGCTGGCTAATTGCCTCTTTTCTCAGGTTGCCCCTGGGGATGGCTGCCCCACAGCCTGCCACACAGCTCACGCTGGTGTTCTCAGGGCTTCCCCCAGCCGGACCGTCTGTTTGCCGAACAAATGAACACTCAGCCACCGTGCAGGGCCATGGGGCTCTTTGTTACATCCCCCCTTGTGAGCTAAATGAACAAGGTGGGGTCACTTAAAAAGAGAGGGGAGGATGGATCATGGGCTCCCAGCTAGGAGTGGACATGCAGGTAACCTGCTTGTGTGTGCTCCAGACAATTATGGTGCTGGGATAGTCCCCAAAATAGGACTGGCACAGAGGTTTCCTGCCCTGGGCTGTGCAGGGTGACAAGAGCAGAAAGAGTATTCCCCAGGGCTTCTGCTGCCACTGCCACACGATCACCTCTCAGGAGTCCTTGGAGGGCTTTGGCTGGCAGAGCACTGCAGGAGCTGCACAGGAATGTGAGCAGAGGGAATGCTGAAGGAAACTGATGACCAGGCCTCTTTTCCCTAGAGAAACTGGGAAACTTTCTAGGTACTGAGCAACAGGAAATAAGGCCCTTCACTGCCATTTCCAAATAGGAAGAAAATACCTTATTCCACCTTCAAAATCCAGCGAAAGCTCAAAACAGAAGAGAAGACTGCAGACAATAATCCCACAAAAGAGAAGTTTATTTCTTCCTCTTAATATTTTTCCTTATCTTTTTTCCCAGAGTGTGACAATACCAATAATATAAGTCATATCTGAGGTGCTTAAACAACTGTTCGTTGTCAGCAACATTCAATCTGTTAATTTTGGACAATATATTCCCTTTTGGCATCAAGGCCCACCTTGACTATTCCTTGGAAGAATCATGTCAAAGCAAAGCCCAAGAGCTGGTAGAAAAGCTGGAGAGTCCTTTGTGCTAAAATCTGTCCTTTATTATAGGAAAAGTTAGTCCCAAAAGAAAATTTTACAAGTTTTACAACTAGGTGCTTCCAATGAAGGAGAAGAGGGAGAGGAGGAAGGGGAGGGGAGGGAGGGGAGGGGATGGGAGGGGAGGGGAGGAAAGGGAAGGGAAGGTCCTTTAGGTGCTCTGTTTGGGGCAAGATAGCTTTAGTAAAGGGTCATTTGCTTGTATGATGTCAGGTGGGATCTGTGAAACAGCCAAATGTCAGTCTTCAGCTAGAAGACCCTAATTTATGTCTCTTAGGAGTCCAGTTGTTAATGGGAGGAAGGAGGAGACTGAAATTCACTAATGAATTATCTGCTCTGTCTGAGAAGAAATGGAGACATTGCTTCAGGTTGGGAAGCCATGCTTCAAAATCTCTCTGCTGAGCTGCAGAGTGGAGATATCTGGGAATGCCCAAGGTACCAGGCCAGTGCTGGACCTCTTTGCACAGCCAGAACCTTTGAATTCACCTGCAAACAGAGGTGCCACATTTCAGCACTTCAGGAGAGTTGATCTAGAAAGTGGTATTAAAGGGAAGAGTGAGAGTAGCCGCCTGTGTGTGTGGTGTCCTTCACTTTAATTAGGTTAGTTTCTTTCATGGCAAGTGCTGTCATACCAAGCTGAAAAATCAATACCATATGGCACAGCACTCAGAGAGCAAACTTGGAAATTAATTAAAGACGAAGTACTTCTGTTAGGTCTCATAGCATAGCGCCTACGATTAGGCATGGCTGAACTGGTTTGGAAACACAAAGGCTGGGCAACACCTTCACCCAGAGCTGAGCTGGACACTCTACCACTCTGGGGTTAGAATAAACTGTAATCCCCCTTTCTTTATTCCCAATGGAGATATATTAGAAACATTGAAATCACTGTTTTACATGTTTTCCTGGATTTTCCTGTGTCTCACTTCCAGCTTGCTGCAGGCCAGGGCAGGGAAGGGAATCGTTTGTTCTGGGAGGCTTCTGCTTGGCAAGGTGCTGGGTATGAACACAGAGAAGGTGCTTCCTGGGGGGCTCACCATGCTCCTGGGCTTGGAGCTGGCAAAGCCATGGGAGGCAGCAGAAAGAAGAAAATACACATTGGTTCAGGTGTTGTGACAATGAACACTGGATGGACAGTTAGAGAAAGAGAAGGGTGATTTGGAGGCTAGGTGGGCAGAGGTGTCTGGGGGACAAAGAAGGCTGTGTGGTGGGGGAGAGGTGAGGCAGGGAAAAAAATCAGCCTTCAAGTCATCAGAGGAGCAACCAGTTCTCACAGGGACCATTTGCAGCACTTTCCCATCACTCCTTCACCACCTGGGA